AACATAATTCATGCACTGTTAAAGACTTAAAAAGTGGAATATTTGTCACATCATCTATCAGCTGCTATCCTACAGACTCGTTGAACTCTGAATTGGATGAGCCAACCATCACAGACTCAAGAGATTTTGAAAAGGAAGTTGAACTGAAATTAGCTTCACTTTTACTTAAATTGGAACATACATACTTAGTTTCCAGTACAGCTGTGAATGAATTGCTTGAGGAGCTACATCTTATAGGAACTGTCTCTGTGCGAGTTAGTCAAAACACAATTAGTCAGTTTTTGGGAGATAACAACTGTCATGTGGAAGCATCTGTGGTTGAAGAGCTAGCCACTGCACTTTGTTCTTCAAACCCAATTCAAAAAGCAATAGTGAAACAAGGTCCATTGTCTACTTCTTGGAAGCGCAAATCATATTATAAAAGAGAATTTGGTGTAGTGTCACCAGTTGAATATATTCTTGATAAAAGAAAACAAAAATCACTACAATATGTATCTGTGCTGAAAACATTGCAGCAGCTTCTAAGTTCAGATACTATTTTGTTAAAGACTGCCAACTTGAAAGAGAGATATGAGTCTCCTCTGAGTGATAAAGCAGTTTATAGTTGTCCCTTTGATGGTGAATTTTTCCGAAACAACAAACTTCTGTCTCAAGACTGTGCAATTTCAATAAATCTCTATATCGATGATTTTGAAATATGTAATCCAATTGGGACATCACGAAGAAAACATAAAATCTGTGCCCTCTATTGGACCTTAACTAATCTGTCCCTTGGTTGTCAATCTTCACTGTCATCGATACACTTGGCTCTGCTGGTCAGAAGTGATGATTTGAAGGTGTATGGCTATGAAGCAGTGCTTGAGCCTCTCATTAGTGATTTAATTTCCTTGGAAAACCACGGTGTGTTTTTGCCAAAGTTAGGGAAATTTGTTAAGGGAACAGTACAGTGCATAATAGCTGATAACCTTGGAGCCCACGGCATCGCTGGATTTGTTGAAAATTTTTCAAGTGGTCATCTGTGCCGATTTTGTACAGCTTCAAGATCAGAAATTCAAACCAAGGCATTAGATAGTGGCATTTTTATTTCAAGAACAGAAGAGATTCATTCTGATCATCTTAAAATCATAGAGGAAAAATCTCTGGACAATTTCTGTGGTGTAAAGAAGAGATGTGTCCTTGCTGAGAAACTGAGTCATTTCAAAGTAACTACTGGTTTCCCCCCAGATCTGGTCCATGATCTATTTGAAGGGACTGTTCCTGTAGAGATAGCTCTATGTCTTTCCATCTTCACGTCTAAGAAATATTTTACACATGCATATTTAAATGACTGTATACTGAATTTCCCCTTTAAGTGGACTGACAAAGTAAATCGTCCCCATCCAGTGCCATTGAACTTTGTATCTCGAAAGACAATAGGTGGCAATTCACACGAAAATTGTTAAGGTTTTTCCCCCTCCTTGTTGGCCAGAAGGTGCCTGCTGATGAACCTGCATGGAAAATATTGACAGATCTAAAGGATATTGTGGATATAATCGTCTCACCTGTTCATACAGAGGAGTCAATTGCATATTTGAATTTCAAGATCTCCGAGCACAGAGTGCGACTCAAAGAGGTTTTCCCAGACTACAACTTGCTGCCTAAGCACCATTTCTTGGAGCATTATCCTCAGCTTATTCGTCAGTTTGGACCATTACGCTGTCTGTGGACTTTGAGATTCGAAGCCAAGCACAGCTTTTTTAAAAGAGTTGTTTGATACACAAAATCTTTCAAGACTGTGCTGTTATCTTTGGCAGAACGACACCAATTTCACATGGCACAGCAGATATTGATGTACCCTAACAAACCTCTCCTGGAAGTATCAAATGTTTCAACTCTTTTTATTGATGTGTTGAAAGAGGAGATTGCACAAGCAATACGGTTGAAACACCCAACAGTGGACCATGTGTGTCTGGCAAAGAATATCACTTACAATGGATTCAACTACAGAACTGAAATGATCCTTGCATATGGATCTTTGGCTGGGATCCCTAAATTCACTGAAATCATCCACATGTTGGTTCTGAAGGACAAGCTGTTTTTCATTGTTTGCAAGCTGAGGGCGTGGCATTGGGAGCATTTCAGGGCCTTTGAACTTCAAGTGAGCCCCAACAAGGACATTTTGCTTTTGGGGCCAGATGAACTGACAGATCCATATCCATTGGTGGATTATACTGTAGGAGGAATCCGTTTGATTACCTTAAAGAGATATATTCAAGTTTAAGGTCTGCATTGACATAGCACTTACAATTTTAACCTGATCATCTTTATGCCAACACAAGGAGATTGTAAATGGGAACTAATGCCTCCTCCCTCCCTTGCTCCTTTTCTATAGACATCCAGGACGTGTTTTGACATTAAATTCCTGCGCTACATAAGTAGTTTGTGCACAGTCTACATCAACCCTTCAACATGCACAGGTAAGAATGACAGTTGTGACTTGTAACATTTATTTCTAACCTGGTCTTCTCTTGCCTCCTCTGGTCTCCATGGAAGAGCATGTCCACAAAAAAGTCAAGGTTGGACTTAGAGCACACTTTATCTTCTGTGCAATACAGGCTAGAAAAGTCCATGACATAACTGGACCACTTTTGGCTTTGGAAAATGTCCTTTGTATAGGATAATGTGTGGTTGTACACACTAAACATGCAATCCAAATTTGCAGTCTTCTGTGACAGTACCCTTATAACATATGTTCAAAAACCTGCAGTGGGAGCTGATACTGTGTTGTGTCTTTTTCCTTTGTGTTATTTTATGTTGTAAGTTTTGTGTACACTAGCGCTGAGAGGCAACTTGATCCACAAATATGGCAAATCCCATACGACTCCTCATTTTGTTGAGTGACAATAGCTCTGAGAGGATGGATCTATCAAGGGTGCCAGACACAGTTGAAGAGCTCATTGAACAAGTTAAAGAGTCATGCAAAGTTGCTGGAGGTATCAGGCTGCAATATAAAGATGTAGACTTTGGTGGAACATTTGTGAACTTGAACTCAACCTCCATGATCAAGGATCTTACCACCATCAAGGTCATACCGTCTGCTACTGAAACATTAATTTTAGAATTTGTAGAAAGTGACCTAGATACAAGCTCCATCTCAACACACACTGATGACACAGTCATACTAAGCAGCAGCTCCTCTGAGAAACTCCGCACAGAGCCCTGGCCAAAGGAGTTCAACATCCCACAATTCTCTTTTGAAACAGAAGGTCAACTTGAGAAAGGGAATGCGGAATACACAAAGGACCAAACCAGGTTCACACCTACATCGAAAATGTTGTCCGACATTCTGGAAAGACTGGCAGAGAAGATTTTCTCCTACAAGGCGTACCCCAGTGATGCAGACCTGAGTGACGTTGTGGAGGCTCTGACAAGGAAACATCCCTGCTTGAGGCAACCAGACTCCTTCAATGAGAGCTATGGATGGAAACTCAGACTAAAGACTAAGATGAGCAATTACCGCACTCAGCTTAAGTCACATGGACTTGCATCTGAGCTCTTAGTAAATACCCTCAAATGAAAGTCACGAGAAGATCCTGTTCCCAAGCCAGCCAAGAACAACAAAAAGGCAAGAAGAGGTGAGGCCAATTACTATCCTCAGACCAGCAGTGAGAATCCAGAAAGCCTAGAACTAGAGCGAATATCTCTCCTGACCGAATTAAAGAAGAGAAACAATGAGAAAACTGTACGAGAGAAGATGGCCAGGACTTTCGAATTCAGGAGGAAAGAGGTTGTGGATAGGAAGCCTGACATCAAGAACCTCTTGGAAAGATGGCCAGGTCTATTTCAGATGGAAGAGGTATAACTTTAACTTTTTTGTACTAATGCCTTTTATCATAGTTTGGAAATGGGAAATATATGTTTTGACTTTTTCTTGTTGGAAGTTGGTCTTTAAAAAAATGTATTGTACACTGTCTACTCATGTACAGATTAATGCAGAGTTTCTGCGGGTTACTGCAGTTCCCCTGCTAACCATATTTATGGCCCAGCTGGACAAGCACTCCCCACAGCTACTTAAAATAATCAGAAAGAAAGGAGGGACAACCAAAGCAAAAACTGCCATAATCCTAGAGTTTCTTGATCAGGTAGGGTGTATATAATTAACTATTAACATGACAGTTAGCATTTTAACCCCTGTATCTAATGAGAATTTGTATCCTGTTACAGTTTTATTTTGGTAACGTCAGTGATTATGGCTGTGACCTTTTAAAATGTTGAAAGGAAGTGTGGGCTTTGTCCTTGAATGAATGAAGAGATTTATTGTCATTATACAAGTACAGAGCACAACTACAACAAAATTTATTTTGGAGACACATTTTCACTCTCACTCGCCAGATACACATACATACATATATACGTATAAACTTTTATTTAGGGACAAGAAAGCATATGCCGTTTTTCCACCGACAGAACACGGTGTGGCTCAGTTCACTTTAGCCCCCTGCGGACGCTTTTCCACCGCCTTTACACCTGATTGGCCCGGGTGTGTGTGGTTCCCACGTGATGTGATATAGAAGCGCTCCCACAAAAGGCTTTAAAAAAAACTCCCAGCAACCATACTCCATTGACTTTGGACCATGGCGACTTCCTCCACAAGAACCAAAAATCAAACCAATCAAAATGAACCACAGACAGCGCAAAGTACAAAAACACACATATATCGCGATTGTTGTTGTTCTTCGGGCTGTGATGTTGCGGACAAAGACTTTTGCGCGCGACTTTTCATAGCCAGATGGGTTCGCCCCTGTTCCCAGTTACGTCCGCTTTATGTTTCCACCGCAACAAGCGAGTTCATCCGCGCTAAACTGAACTGCTCTCAAGCAAACCATGCCGATTTGTCGGTGGAAAAGGGGCATTAGTCACCTCATGAGGATAGAGAGGTGAAAAAAAACTCCTCTCACGCAGTATACTCTCCATATTGCATAGTAACAATTTTAACTGTTCCTGCAGGATGCTGATGCTGACATTAGGAGGGAGTGTATACTTAAATCTCTCATTATCTACCTTGGAGAACGTGTTGAGGACTTGATAAAAGAATACATGGTATGTCCATATCTGTT